ACCCCCACCTCCCCCACCCTCCCCTTCTTCACTCGTTTCATTTCCTGCTAATATCTCTGATATTAACCTCCCAAATACCTCCAAATCTAAGCATGTTTCCTCTAAGCTCATTATCACTGCCATTACTTGTGTTCTTGCTGCTATCATTGTTCTTTCCATCGCCATCTGTTTGCACGCAAAGAAAAGGAGGCGCCATTTTAATGACCCAAAAACACAAAGATCCGATAATAGCAATAGACTGAATCATGGTAGTAGTAAAAATGATGGTAATACTAATAATAGTATTCCTAAGCTTCAACAACCATCTCAAACTAGTTCAGAGTTTCTCTATTTGGGTACTATTGTCAATTCACATGGCGGCATTAATAGTGGTAGTAACCCTGATACAGCTCCATCTTCGAGAAAAATGGCCTCCCCGGAGCTCCGTCCACTTCCGCCGTTAAATGGACGGAATTTAAGTCAAAATTACAGGAATACCCGTAACGATGATGATTTTTACTCTACTGAGGAATCTGTGGGTTATATAGAGAGCTCTTTTGGAGCTGGATCATTGTCAAGGAGAGATTTTGCTGCTGTTGAAGTGAATAAATTTGTCGGGTCGAGCTTGTCGGGTTCGGATTCATCCTCGAGTTCCGGGTCGGGTTCCCCGAACCGGTCTGTATCTCTGAGCATTTCGCCTCCGGTGAGTGTGAGTCCAAAAAGGGAAAGTTGTTCAAGACCTAAGTCACCGGAACTGATCGCCGTTGTGACCCCTCCGCCACCTCAGCGTCCACCTCCTCCTCCACCTCCATTTGTACATGGGCCTCAAGTTAAGGTAACTGCAAATGAGAGTCCAGTATTAATTTCTCCTATGGAGAAAAATGATCAAAATGTTGAGAACCATTCTATTGAGAAAAATGAGGAGAAAAGTGAGGAGATACTTAAGCCAAAGTTGAAGACTTTGCATTGGGATAAAGTGAGAGCAAGTTCGGATTGCGAAATGGTGTGGGATCAACTGAAATCAAGCTCATTTAAGTATGATAATATGAACTCTTACTACTGATTATATTGTCATTATAGATATTCATTAACTTTTTTAGTGTAAGTTGAATTGAGCTGGTTTATATCTTCAGGTTGAACGAAGAGATGATAGAAACATTGTTTGTTGTGAAGAATCCAACTTTGAATACAAGCGCAACAGCTAAACACCTTGTTGTTTCCTCAATGAGTCAAGAGAATAGGGTACTTGATCCAAAGAAGTCACAGAACATTGCAATTTTGCTGAGGGCTCTAAATGGAACCACAGAGGAAATATGTGAAGCCCTCTTAGAAGGTATACTTTGGTTCTAACATTCTTTGAGGAGTTTAATTTTTGATAGTGTAAAATAGCTTTTACACTATCAATATACCTTAATAATGTAGAAGGGGAGCCTTGGCATAACTGGTAAAGTTGCTGCCATGTGACCAAGAGGTCACGGGTTCAAGCCGTGGAAACAACCTCTTGCAGAAATGCAGTCTAAGTCTGCGTACAATAGACCTTTGTGGTTCGGTTTCTCCGGACCCGCGCATAGCGGGAGCTTAGTGCATCGGGCTGCCCTTTACATGTAACCGTTCGTAAAAAGTGGGGTTTGTTACCTGATAAGTAAGGCAAGTTACGTTACGCTACAGGATAAAATACAATAATGTTAAAATCTTTACACTGCCATTGTATATGAGTTGAATCCTCTTTGAATTGAAAATTAAGAGCTGAAAAATGAGAGGAACGATCTGCCAAAAACCTTCTGCTAAGTACTGACTGCAGCATAATCACTCAATTTATATTCGCTTTGATTTTGAACAAATGGTTGTATTTCTGAATAATATACCCAATTAAAATACATTGCTCTTATTGTAGTAAACTAATATAATGTGTTAAAGGTTATGCTCCTTTGCTCTTAAGGCTTTCATGGTATTCATTGTTAGGATGCATCATCTCACTTATAGTGGAAAAGCCTTGTAGTATATGGATTCCGAAACCAAGTTAACAAATTTACCTTCAACAAATTTACTTTGATGGTTTGATCAATTGGCAGAAGTTCTAACATGTCAACAACTTTGCCTTCGATAATTGTTCTTTGATGGTCTCATCAATAGGCAGAAGTTAAAGTGTATTTACACATAATTAAGTGTGTATGTAGGAGAATAGAGTGCAATAACAAATTACATCTTCTGTTCAGGAAATGCTGAAAATATTGGGACTGAACTCCTTGAGATTTTATTGAAGATGGCTCCATCCAAAGAGGAGGAACGTAAACTAAAAGAATACAAAGATGATTCTCCATTCAAGCTTGGCCCCGCGGAGAAGTTTCTGAAAGCAGTGCTTGATATACCTTTTGCATTCAAAAGGATAGATGCTATGCTGTACATATCAAATTTTGATTATGAGGTTGACTACCTCGGAAATTCATTTGAAACTTTAGAGGTAATTATTTTAAGCCATCATCAGTTTCTACTTGTCATTGATTATCTATTCACGAGAAGAAATTTGATTTTGATCAGAAGAAAACTTATGTAAAGTATTGATACTCAACATTAACAACTTAAAGAAGCAAACAATTATGTATGTTGAAAAATCAAACTCTGGAAATATTAAGCATTATATTATTTTGGAGGAATGATTGTTTAATGTGTTGATCTTGTGACTTGTACCTGTGAGCATTTCTGAATTCAACTAAAAGATAAATATTGTTTGGGAATAATCCTATTAGCTTGATATATCTGCTGTTGCCGTGTCCCTATTTTAAGAGATTAACTGCTAAATATTGGACTTCGGAGTAATCATGTATAATGATCTGAAACAGCCAAAATTTTATTCTCCCTTGTTAACAACTGCCTGCTAATAGAGTCATATTTTTTTTAAATGAAAAGAGTTAATAGTTAATTAATTCTACTGTGAGAATACAACTTTTGAACTATGTCCTTATAAAGCTTTCCTATTACAGGCAGCATGTGAAGAGTTGAGAAGTAGCAGAATGTTCTTAAAGCTTCTAGAAGCAGTGCTAAAGACGGGAAACCGCATGAATGTTGGGACAAATAGGGGTGATGCTCATGCCTTCAAACTTGACACACTGCTAAAGCTTGTAGATGTGAAGGGAGCAGATGGAAAAACAACCCTCTTGCATTTTGTGGTTCAGGAGATTATAAAAAGTGAAGGTGCTCGTCTTTCTGGTGGAAATCAGAATCATCAACAGTCTACTACCAATGACGACGCTAAGTGCAAGAAGCTTGGCCTCCAAGTTGTTTCCAACATTAGTTCAGAACTTATAAATGTCAAAAAATCTGCTGCCATGGATTCAGAAGTACTCCACAACGACGTCTTAAAGCTTTCTAAAGGGATTCAAAACATTGCTGAGGTTGTACGTTCCATTGAAGCTGTCGGATTGGAGGAAAGCAGTATTAAAAGATTCTCCGAGTCCATGAACAGGTTTATGAAAGTAGCAGAAGAGAAGATTTTAAGGCTACAAGCTCAAGAAACATTGGCCATGTCGCTGGTGAAAGAAATAACCGAGTATGTCCATGGAGATTCAGCTAGAGAAGAGGCTCACCCTTTCAGAATATTCATGGTTGTTAAAGACTTCCTAATGATTCTTGATTGCGTTTGCAAGGAAGTTGGAACAATAAATGAGCGGACGATAGTTAGTTCTGCTCAAAAGTTTCCAGTTCCTGTTAATCCAAATCTACAACCTGTCATTAGTGGATTCAGAGCTAAACGGCTGCATAGTTCCTCTGATGAGGAAAGCTCATCTCCTTAGTAGCATTATTTGGTCATAACAGGCAAACGCTAGTTTTTTGGTTTTGGCCAAAACCAATGTAATCTATTATATAGGAAGCATAGGAGTTTGCCTTAGATTGTGCAGAACTATTTAGGCATATGTAACTCTTTTATCTATCTGAATTTTGTATTATATTAGATCATTCTATAAGATATTGGGAATTTCTAATTCTTTTGACTCTTCTACGAGATAAAGCAAAAACATTTCTTGAACTGATGAGCTGAACTGACAAAAGAATCTAATAGAAAAACTGTTTATAAGTTTTAAAACTAGACAAAAAGGGTGTCATTGAACTGACAAATGTTAAATTGTGTGAGATTATGCTTGTAAGTAGCAAAAACGCCTTCCAAAATAGAAATAATCAAAGGAGAGAGTAATAGCATTCTCACAGCCTAAATAATAGGAAGGTCCAGCTCAAACCTTCATCAACCAATATCTAAAGCAGTGACAGTTAAATGCACATCGCGTATATTTAAGTCCCTTCAACCTTAATACAAGGATTAAAAAAAAAAAGGACAGTCCTATGCACAAAGTATCGTGCGTTCACGCAGGGTCCAGGGAAAAGCCACACCCCAAGAGAGTGTGATGTAGGCAGCCTACCCTGATACAAGAATCAATAGCTGATTCCACGGCTCGAACCCCGGACCTATGTGTCACACGAAGACAACTTGACTGTTGCTCAAAGGCTTCCCGTCAACCTGAATACAAGGATCTGGAAAAAAAAAAAGAAAAAAAAAAACAGGAGAGGGAGATAGGGACAGAGACATCTAATCTGTATAAATCTCTTCAGCAAGAAAAATACAGAAAAGGAAACATAAATTACATAGTTGGGTAGCTATGAAGAAGGGACTTATAGTAGAATGATTGGATAGGGAACGTGGTATTTGTACAGGAAAGAAAAGATTATGCAGAACAGACAACAACCTACAATTACATAGGACTATGATTCTATATTAATTACTGTATCTTACTTACTCAACCATTATCAATGAACAACAAACCTCTTTTACTTATTGAGCAACGATGAGTTCGTCCAGTTGATGTCCAACATCATCACTCTCTGAAGGCATCATCAAAATGTCATCTTCAGTTGTGAAATGATATCGCTCTCCGATGGCTCTCAGAAACTGGTACACTTCAAACATTGTCGGCCTCTCCTTAGGAGCAGACAACACACACCGACAAGCAACTTTAAGGACCTGGAAAATCTCAGTGTCATAACCTTTACCAGACAACGAATGGTCAATCGCATCTTGAAGCTTAGATTCACCAGAGAGATTTGAAATCCATTCCACGAGATTTCCCTTAAAGGTCTCGGGAGCTTTGGTGACAGAGGTCGGTCTCTCACCAGTTACTAACTCAAGAAGTACAACACCGAAACTGTACACATCACCTTTTGGTGTAGCCATAAGAGTGCGAGCGTACTCAGGAGCAACATAACCAAAGTCCCCGAATTCTCCATTGACGAAGGTACTCAAATGAGTGTCAATTGGATTCATGAGCCTAGCGAGTCCAAAATCTGATATTTTTGGTTCAAATTCCACGTCCAACAAGATGCATTTAGAACTAATGTTTCTGTGAATAATACGAGGATTGCAGTTGTGGTGAAGCCATGCAAATCCTTTGGCTGCTCCAAGGCCAATCTTAAGTCTCATAGGCCACTCGAGCGTTTTTTCCCCTTCACTCACCGAATGTAGCTTATCGTGCAAGGTGCCATTTGGCATGTCCTTGTAGACCAACAGCCTTTCTTTTTTTGCCATGCAGAAACCTAAAAGAGGAACCAAGTTACGGTGCTTTACCTTTCCCAAAGTATCCATCTCAGATACAAACTCTTTCTCTGAATGTTGAGTATTCTGCAATCTCTTAACCATAAGTGAAGTACCATCATCAAGTACTGCTTTGTAGAAAGTCCCGGTACTTGCTGACCCGATGATATTGCTTTTGCTGAAGTTGTTAGTGGCCTTCATGAGATCACTTAATCTCATTTTTGAAGCAGACTTATCAAACATTGAAAGCTGAAAATAACGCACCTTAAGTCAAGTAAGAAAGCTTGAGCAAGAGAAAAATCACACAACAACAGGTGAAAATTCATACTTCACACTTAACATGGAGGTTGAATGCTTATAAGGAAACATGAATTAATGATTATAAATATGATCACATTGCTACAGTAGAAACAGAGAACAAAAACAACAACCCACTAGAATTGAATTTGACAAATGAACAAAGCGCGAACAGAAATGTCAATAAAGAGACAGTTTATAATGATTCGGCAGAGTAAAAATTCTCACCTGGATTGTCTTGCTACCCTTAATACTCTTCGCCCATTTATTCCCTTCAGGATCTTCTTCCTTTTTCTTCATCCTGGATATCTTTCTCAAGTAGAAGAACGTACAGAGGATCACAAATACAGCACCTAAAGTCACCCCACCAACAGCTGCACCGACGATGATTCCTGTACGGGGTTTCTTGGAAGAACCCTCGCAACGAGTTAACGGATCTCCACAGAGTCCTGCATTATTGGCATAGCTCTCAGCGGGAATAGATGCATTTATGAAATTTGGAACTGGTCCGGTCAATCGATTGTTTGCTACATTAAATGTCTTGAGCCGACCAAGCAGGCCAATTTGTGGAGGAATTTGACCCGTCAACTGGTTGTTGTCAAGTTTAATGTCATTCAAAAAAGAGCAGTTTGCGAGATCCACTGGGATTTGCCCTGATAGGTTGTTGGATGAGAGATCCAGGATTACCACAAAACCTATAATTTTGGAGATATCAGATGGAATACTTCCATTGAGCTCGTTGCTCGAAAGATCTAATGATGTCATAGAGGTACAATTCTGAATACCACGTGGAAACCTGCCCTTAAGACCCATGTCAGGAAGAGTGATACTCAGAACCTTGCTTTCATCCGGATGCCAACACTGAATCCCAGTAAATTTGCAGATGAAACCTTCGGTCTGATTATCGAAGTTCCATGTTGACCCCAAGTAATTTAATGGATCTTCTAATGACTCTTTTACAGATTTCAGACAGTCAATGTCACTTTGAACAGCACAGCAAACATCGAGACTCAAGACCAAGTAGATCAAAATAGAAGCAAGAGTGGTAAGAGCTCTATTATCCAATGCCATGTTGGTGAAAGGCCCGGTCATAATTGCATCAATCGAAGTGCCTAGTTACGCCGTTGAATGAAACATTTAAGATCTCTTTAGACTAGTTCACAACCCCAAACAATGTGAAATGCATTGCAAGTACAAATCCAATTTCTCCTGAGCTACATCCAGAAACCTACAAAATATTGAAGGGGAAATTAAGAACTGCAATGGTGATGAGTCAGTGCTATCAATCAATCAACTATGCCTCAATTCCAAACTAGTCGAGAAAAACTATATGAATCTATGTATCAATCTGCTCTATTCAGTCCCATTTCATATCACTACTAGATAAAATTTGTCTTCTAAGGCATACTAGTGCTTTCCTAGAACTAAGGGGGCAGCAAGTGCACTAAGCTCCCGCAATGCGCGGGGTCTGAGGAAGGGCCGGAGCACAAGGGTCTATTGTACGAAGCCTTACCCTGCATTTTTGCAAGAGGTTGTTTTCACGGCTCGAACCCGTGACCTCCTGGTTACATGGCAACAACTTTCTCATTTACGCCAAGGCTCCCCAAGGCTCCCCTTATGCTTTCCTAGAACTAGGTGTACTCAAATCCCACACTAATCTCTACACGGAAATATAAGTAACCAAAATAAGAAAACTATTCCTCACAGATTTTAAAGAGAAAAACGGCAAACAAAGAGGCAGAAGAGACTTGGCAAGAGAAAAAGCACAATAGCAAGCAGCAGATGCCAGAAAAATTCGCATACTACTACCTCCAACAAAAGAAAAACTTCATAAAAAAGATGAGTTTATAACCTGATATTCTACAGCCGCAAACAGAAATGTTCAAACCTTCAAGATTTAAGTTAAAAAAAAAATAAAAATACTTGACATAGGTAACAACAACAACAATAACAAACCATCACACAAGTGGGGCCTGGGAGGGAGGGTAGGGTGTATGCAGAACGTATCCCTACCCTGCGATAAAGAGTTTGTTTCTGAAAGACCATGCGGATAAAGATGCTGTTTCTCAAAGACGCTCAGCTCAACAAAAAAGCTTACCCAAAAATGATTTTATCTGATCTTCAAGAGCCTACTTGATATAAAACAAAGCCCAACGAACACGGCTCATAGATCCCAGAAAAAGTTGTTAAATCGATGAAGAAAAGAGCAAATTCCAATTCTAGAAAGAAAAGTTCAGAGCTTTTTGACTATGATAACCAAAATTTTAAGAATAATAAACTACTGTCCTTGTTCAAAGTATTCAAAGAAAGGCAATAATACATCAATTAAAGAAACAGTTAGTTATAAATAGCAATAAACAAATTGAGGCTACAAATACTATCTTCAAATGAAATATAAATAACTTTATCCAAAATACAGAATTTACATGATCTTCTACATCCACAAGCACAAAAGTTAACATCTTTAAGAATAAAATTCAAAAAGCAAAAAGCTCTTGATATAAAACAAGACACAAAAAGGGTTCTTTAAATCAAACAAAAAAGGAGCAAAATTCAACTTCAATTACCAGAAAGGAAAGTTCAGAGCTTTATTAACATGACTTTCAAATTTCAAGAATTAAAAGCAGCCAACAACATAATAAAGACACAATTTTTAATTATAAGAATTAAAGAAAGGGTTAGGTATAAATACCATTAAACAAATTGAGCATAAAAGTAAAGACCAAAAAGGTTATAGATGCAATATACTTACTGCCCAGTTGAGGGTATAAAATGCTGGATCTTGAGGGTCAATTAACAGGCAATTTCAGAGAAGAAATATGAAAGGAAAAGAGAGAAAGAAGATTGTATTGGGTCATACAGTTTACTGGGTCAAAGAAATAAAGCTAGTAATTGTTTAACTGTGGGAGCTAAGACCAAAGACTTGCTAAAAATGAAAGAGAAAGAGAGTTAAAACTTAAAATGGGACAGGGGGACGACCTATGGCTTGACTTGCTGTTCATTTGCTGTGGAAAGTTAGTTTTTTCTTTTTTTGGTTTCTCACCAATTTTGGATATTTTCTTTTGGCTCGGCTAATCCCGATATGCACCAATAAATTATACTTTATG